ACGCCTCCTGTACAGCGGCACTCACCGAACCGACCGAGAACCCTCGCTTGTGAGCACCAGCACCGTCGCTCTTGCCGGCCATGTTGCCGGCGATCTTCTTCTCATTGCTGGCGATCAGGTCGCTTACCGAAGAGGACTTGCTGAGGGGCACCAGCGTCTCCTCGCTCACTTCCGGCGCGGTCGCGGACACGCTGTATTGGTCCTGGCAAATCAAGCGAATTGTAGATATTCCGGAAAGAAGCAAAAAAGACAAGTGAATGCAAGAAATGCATACATACGCATAGACCGCATGCGAGAGATTGGAGCGCGCTTAACTGGCGGTGCTACTTATGTACAATGTGCAGACAAGCTTGGAGAACACATTTATATTGTTTCGCACGATGAGGTGGGGTGAGAACCCAATCAGCGACAACAAACCAAACCACGCAACACACACACACAACAAAACGCGTTTCACACCAATCGAAGACAAAACAAAACAAAACAGGCTAGTTATAGACGTGTGTGACAATACGGCAGGCGGTGGCACTACCGGTCTTTCTACCAAAATCTCCCCTACCTGTGGGCAACAGGCTTGTGTAATACTTACCGTATATGACACAAGATAACACGCCCCCTGGACCAATTCTCAAAGCTCGATTACTCCACGACGAAGAGGATATATAAACGAAACGATACATTTTTGGAAAGCTCTCGACGAGACGGTTTCAACGCCGCCGTTTTCGGCGCCGTGACTCTTTCTGTTGTTGAGAAATCGATATTTGAAAAAATCGGTCCGGGGTGTCTGTTATCTTGTGTCATTTTCATTTACGGTACTACTTCCTCTGTATCATAAGTTAGGGTACCTAAATTTGTACGGGCCCTTAACCGTGTCCGATCTGTTTTTCGATTTTTTTGTTGAAATCTTCGTAGTTTTTGAGCAAGAAACATTTATTTTTATTTTTATGCATGCGCCACCCCGCGTGCATGAGCGCCCGAGAAAAAACCAGTCGGCCTGAAAAAGGCCGTATTTTGCATGTATTCTGCCCCCTCCGACCAGGCGACCAGGCGGGGGGGGCGGGGCAATGACAAAAACAAGGCAAAAATACCAAGAATTATCCCTGACCCTAAACCTAGCCTCCCCTCTACTCAACGATCCATGACGCGTCCCCCATACTAAAAGCAGCATAATAGTGGCCCCCACACTGAAAACAAGACACTTGGGGGGACCACACTAAAACCAAGACACTTGCGGGGCAAAGCAAGCAACAGTAGGGCCCTCATCCAACCCCCCCCTCTACTCAACGATCCATGTCGCGCCTCCTATAATAAAAGCAGTATCGTAGTGAGCCACACTAAAACCAAGACACTTGGGGGTCACACACTAAAATCAAGACACTTGGACGGGTACTTCTTTCCGACACCGTAGCGTTCGCAGATCGGGTCAAGCACGCCCTTGGGAATCGTTGACAACCCCGGCTGAATGCCCATCGCAATTTCTACCGCCATGGCATAGCGCCTACCCTTTTGCGAGGTGGTGTGCTGGGGGGCGATTCCATCGCTAGAGTGAGTAGTGGGCCGGTAGGGTACTAATATCAGATGGTTTTGAGATTTTTTTCGAGAATTCTCAAAAACAATCGCATAATATTTTCTCAAAAATATTCCCAAAACAGGCCAAAATAGGGTATATTTTGACCGATATTAGGTACAGAGATAGATGTTCGTCTTTTTATTTTATTTTTTCTATCGCTTCTTCTTTGTTATATCTTTCTTACAAACCCGACTATGCTACCATCACTAACACGGTTGCACCCAGACAATCTATTGCATTTAGGTACCCTAACTTATGATACAGAGGAAGTATGTTATTATATATTTCTAAGAGAGCACGGACCGCCTGCGCAGGAATCTAAGAGTATCTAGAACAAGAAGGAAGGGGCCGGGCCGCAGACCCTAACCTCTACCCTAAAGCACGGATTGAATACTTTATCCCATATGCTTGCTTAATCAGTTTTGCTGCGGAGACTACTGGAGTGTGCCGCAGTCGGGCCACAGGGCACTGTAGTTGGTGGTTCCGCACCCGAGAGATGGCAGCGAGCCCCAGGCTGCTGCTGCTGCCGTGGCTGCCGCGGCTTCCCCGCCTCCGGTGCGTGGGGCGCGTCCCGCCGTAGCTGCTGCCCGCGGAGCCCGAGCCTGCGAACGCGGAGTCGCTGCCGTCCGATGACCCGAAACTGTTCGTTTTTTTTTTTGTCCATCACGAAACATGGGGCGCCGGGAGAGAGAGAAATATATATATATAGAGAGAGGACGGGGGTGGGGGGGGGTGGGGTGTACTCAAAGTCGTGCATGCCGTAGTCGCTAGACCATTGACCTCGCATCCCTACAAAGCCGGGACGGAGCACGCCGGGTTCTCACCGGACCAGGCTCTCACATCACCAAGCGCGAAGCGCCGTGAGATATTCGGCGAGTCGCATGAA